GATGAATCCCCAGCCTTTCATTTCCTGTGGAAATAAAAGCATAACCTCTTCTCCAAAGCAACATACATTTTGACTTACATTTTGAAATCAAGATATTTAAAAAATATATAGGTTCGTTTAATCTAGCAGCTTTAATCCAGTGTCTCTTAGCAGCCATTGCTCCTTCCTCAGCAGTTAAAAATTTCAAAGACAACACAATAACATACAGTATCCAGACTCTATGTATTTTCCATCTTTACGTGCCTTTTTTTTTTTTTTTAATATTACTTTCCTCTTGGAGGATTTATTAAGGCAACTCCACGTAGTTAAAATGGAGGTTTATTTTGAGGTAACTTACAGCTAGTAAAGGGGTTGGTTACAGGATCCGGGAGAGATGAGGTACAGTCCAGCGGGGTTCTCTGGAAAACTCCGCTCAGTGGTCTACCATCTAGCGTCCAGCGTCACCAAGAACCAAGAGTGTCTGCACATCTGGATCTCAGGTCTTAAGGGCTCCCCTCTGGGCCCCGCCTCAGGGGCAGGTCACAGGTAGATGTGACAGTTACCGGAAGCCTCACTGGGGGTAGTACTTCCAGGTCAAAGCTGGAACATCTACTCACTACACTTTACTCCCCTTTTTAAGAACTTTATTCTTTTAAGACTATATTTTTAAATCTAAGTCTGTATATACTCTTTCTCTTCTCTCTCCTAAGCCTTTGCACATTTTAAAACACACTGTGACCTGTTTAGAGGTTTTTTTCATTTGAATCTGTCTTCACTGTGTATCTGTAATCCTTTTCTGTCTGCATGAGCAACGGAGAACCCGCCATGCAGTTTGCACTGGCAGTTTAAGCCCAATAGCAGGCGCTGAGAGATGCCTCTCTGTACCAACACCCGTGAGAGACCGTGGGAACCTGCCATGCGGCTTAGAGCATGACCTGCTGGCAGCTGCCAGAAGATGTCTGTACTGTGGCCATCATGAGAGACATGAGACTAAGAAGCTGCGTTTGGCTCCATTTTTGTGTCTTTAGAACCTTTTATAAGCTTTTTTAGGTCTTATGTGGATGTATGTTCCACATTGGGCGCCATTTGTTGGTGGACACTTTTCTGTCCTGGCAGCTGCTTCCCAAATAACCACTCAGAATCTTAATATTAATTGTAATTGCTCAACCAGTAGCTGAGGCTTGTTACTAGCTAACTCTTACATTTAAATTAACCTATATTTCTTATCTACGCTCTACTACGTGGCTTATACCTTTTCTTAGTAAGGCATGCTCACCTTGCTTCTCCCTGCATCTGCTGGTGACTCCAGACTCTGCACTTCTTCACCCTGGAATCCTCTTAGCCTGGTTTTTCCCGCTTAACCTCCTCCTGCCCAGCTATAGGCCAGTGAGCTCTTTATTAGTCATTGAGAGTAATACATATTCATATTGTGCAAAAAAGATTGTTCCACAGCAGTGACTGGACATGCTAATCAAAACTGCGCCTTATCTTTAGACCTTTGCTGGTTCTTGGTGTGTGTGCATGCCCCACGAATGTGTGCTTGCTTGTGTGTGCATAGATCTTTATGGAGGTGCTGTTGACATACAACAATATCATGGTTTCAGTGCGGTTTGCTAGACTGACACACACATGCCTGAAGTCACCACCAGTCATGATAGTGAGCCTTCTATCACCTGAACATGTCTGCTGTTCCCCTATTCTCAAGCCTTTACATGTTTGTCAGCTTTCTGGAGTTGGGTCCTGGAACATAGAAGTATATAGTATGGACTCTTTTCCTGGCCACGTTGATTGAATGTGTCATTTGAGGATCACCTGTATTGTATCCATAGCTCATTTCTTTATTCCTGAATACTTTCCCATTGTGTAGATATCTTAGATGTTGTCTCTCTATTGATGTGTTTTGTTGATCTCAGTTTTGGGTTGTCAGAAATAAGACTGCTTCAATTAGCTCAGGTCCAAGTGTCTCTGAGGTAGACTGGAGTAGAGGGCTGCATCCCATCATGGTGTGTCATTTCCTAAGATTGTAGCACGGTGTTTAGGGGGTCCACCTCATGCTGCTGGAGTTCTCTGCTTACGTTTGGTTTCACTTCAACTGTAGTAGTGGGTATGGACAGCGCCACACTGTGGGTTTAATTTGCACTTCCCATGTTGGCCTGTGACACTGAGCTAATTTATTGCTATGGGTTATGTCTTTCATCTCTGGGAACTGTCTGCTTGGATCTGTTGCCTACTTGTAATTTTCTTGCTGAGATGTGGCAGTAAGTCTGTGTGTGTGTTTTGTACTCCAGCCCTCTGTCTGTGTTCCCTGGGTTGGTGACCAGCATTTCCTCTAAGCTTCTTGAGAAGAGAGGCACCTGGAAGTTTGGGTTTGTCAGTTGCCCATGTGTTCCTTTATGGACCATGCTTCTGGACTGATTTCTAGAATAGTGGTGTTGTCCTTTTCTCTCCTGGAGTGCTGGTCTTGTGTGTAGACGGTAGATCCAAGTTTTTTTTTTTTTTTTTTTTTTTTTTTTTAGTTTTTTTTTAGTTTTACCTGTCCCATTGTCCTTGCTCATTCAGGTTTCTGTCCATCTGTATGGGCCTGTCTCTGCACTCTGGGCTGTTGTGTTGATGCACCGATGAAGTGCTGTGTGGTCTCTGGGGATTTCTGAGGCATTTTGTAGATCTCCCTTGGGTACAAACCCATGTTCATGTCCTGGTGTCATTGCATTTCTTGAGAGCATACATGTTTGAGACCGAGCATCTGAAATGCTTCCCTTCCTGTTGCGATGATGATGTGGCTGGGTATTGCCTTCCTGGTGGCAGGTCGCAGGCCCATCGGGTCTGCTGTCTGCTGTAGCGCCCTAGTTGTGCCAGCTTCACCTGAGTTCTGGGCTTCCTTCCCTGAAGTGATCGGTGGTGGTGGAGTCCTGTGTAGTCTGGAGGACACCATCTCACTTCCTTATTAACGAGGCAGAGATCTGCTGCCAGTGCCGGGGACCCCATCCATGACATACTCTCTTAAGTGGTTACTCTCCTTTTCTTTCATCACTTGGAGCTTCTGAAATGATCCCCTCAATTTTATCACATCCTTTCCACCAAGTCTCTACTTTTCCTTCTGCAGTGTCTTCTGGCCATCCGGTGGGTATTGGATGTTCCGGTAACATTGAAGGGCATTCTGATGAATTCTTACTACTGTTAAGCAGATGTTTTCTAGAGAGAGGTGGGACTTCTACATTTGTCTGTTTAGGTCTGTCCCAGGTGTCCAGGATCCTTGACTGTCACCTGTTATTTGCATGGTGACACTGAAAACCTCTTCACTCAGAAGAGCTGGAGGAACTGGGTAATGTTAGCTTTAATGAAGAGTTGAGTCAGAGGTCAGGGATGGAGCTGAGGCAGAGCCTGTGACCACTGTGGGCTGACTGGGGCCTTGCCTACTGGGCTCCACAGTGCCTATATTGGGTCTTCACACCCGGCAGTCAAAGGGGCTTCAAAGCATGAGGGTAGGCTGGCATTGAGAGCCTCTCTACCAGAGGATCCCCTGTCAGCCAAGGGAACAGAGTTCCTTCAGTCTCTTCTGCATCTGTAGGGAAGAAGTGCCTCTTGAGGAATCCTGCAAGGGGCCTGTGCTCCACCAGCTGGGCTGGACCATACTCTGGGTATGTGTGACAGTGGCCACAAGGGTAGTCAGACAGAACCTCCAAGACATGTGGCTTGTACCTTGTTAGGTCCACAGAGAAACACTGGCCACAGTGTGCTGATGTGGTTGTGTGAGGTAGTTCTGGAGGGACATTCATTTCTTTAACCAACAACAGGGCTTTCAGGATTAAGAATTTACTGAGTTCGCCAGGTGGTAGTGGAACATGCCTTTAATCCCAGCACTCCGGAGGCAGAGACAGACAGACCTCTCTGAGTTTGAGGCTAGCCTGGTCTATAAAGCAAGTTCCAGAACAGCCAGAGCTACACAGAGAAACCCTTTCTCAAGCAACAACAAACAAACAATTTTTACTGAGTTCAAAGAGACCTTGCTGCTGTTTCTGATATACTCAGAGTTTGACAGCATCAGAGACTCTTCCTGTGTGATTGCTCCGACTTATTCCTCACCGAGGGAAAGCCCAGGGTCTGCTGGGTGTACAGCTTATAGGAAGTTTGAGTCTCAACACCCCTCCCTTTATCCCTTTCTTCAGTGGTGTGTTACTTTGCAACTGTGTCCTGTTGTGTTGGGTTGAGGGTGCCTGTAACTCCATTGTGGGCATTAAATTTAAGGCAAGAGTGCTGCTGTTTCTTCTAGAACTTAGGATACAATTGGTTGCTGGTTTGAAGCCAAAATTAGTCAAACTTCACTGGCAGAATTTGCTTTCCCAGAATTTCAAGAATTTGGATGGATGAGAGACTGTTCTGTACCTGTTGCTTTGGACAGTGCCTCTGTGCGTCCTGGTCACCTGGGGCAAGCACAGCCCCTGCCTGATCACAGTAGTATTCCTATGAAGAATAGAGGACTACACATTTTGGTTTGGTTTGGACATTCTGAGGCATCAGGCTGGAGAGACTTGGCCTATGGACTGTAGAGGTGATGGTGTCCTGCACTCAGAGGCAGGACCCCAGCATTGTGAGCACACTTTAGTGTGTTGGACAGAGAAATGTGGAGAAGGTGCAGAGTAGTTACCCAGGACATGGGCTCATGGGTGTTGGGAGCCTGCACTGAGGGGTACCTGCCACTTGGTGAGTGCAGACAAGGCAGAAGCAGTGGCAAGGCTGTACTTAGGTACCTACATCTGAAGAGGCTGCAGGGCACACATCTGGACTGAAGCTGTGGCTACTGAGCTTGGCTTTACCACTTAGGTTCCTTGTGAAAGGAGATGTACTGTGGTCTTTGTGTGTTTGGACAGTCCTCCACCATCCTGTGTTCTGTCTTCCCTGAGGAACCAGCTGCTCAGCAGCTGCTCATATATTCCTCCAGTAGTAACTAGTGCCCTGGCCAGTGTCTTTCTTGTGCTGGAGTAGGGAGTGCTTCCTGATGCCAAGTATCATTTGTCCCCCAGGAATGGTCCTCGTGCGGAGTGAGAATGGGCAGTTGTTAATGATCCCTCAGCAAGCCCTGGCCCAGATGCAGGCCCATGCCCAGGCCCAGCCTCAGAGCACCATGGCACCCCGTCCTGCAACCCCCACAGGTGCTCCACCTGTCCAGATCTCCACCGTGCAGGTGAGTGCACGCATGGTGAGTAGGTTAGTGTGAGGTGGCCCCAGCTCAGCCTGGCTCTCACCCATTCCCCACCCTGCACACTGGGGATGTTGCAAGAGTGAAGGAGTGTCCTGTGTGAGTGGACACTGAGGCATGCAAGTGTTTTCAAACCCAACCATCAGGCAGGGTATAGGACGGCTCTGGTCTCCCATTCTCCTCGCTGAGACCATTTGCTCTTGGAGGAGCCAGCTCTTGTGGCCAGTGCTCAGCTTGCTGACTGAGTTGGGTTACAGTAGACACTTGGGGTCAGCTCCCTTGTCTGAGCCCTGGCCTTTCACTTGTCACCAGTGGGTTCACCTTTCTGTGTGTCCCAGTGTCTTTTTCTGTAAGGTGTGGATGTAGTGGTGCACAGGTCCTGAGACTGTCTTGAAGACAGGATACTTGAAGTACCAAGAGTGTGTAGTGGAGCAGAGTGCAGACCTCCCAAGCCTTGAAGTCACAGAGCTTGATGCCAAGCTGTGTTGTCCCCAGTGTGCAGTGCCCCCACTTCCCCAGCACAACAACCCCTGTTGTGTGCTTTGTGTGGCCTTGCTTTTTTCCGATGCCTTCCCTAGACACCTGGCGGCTAAAGAGATGATGGGAGTCATCCTGATAACTCTGAACTCCTCTGAAGTTGTGCCCTGTCCAGTGGATGGGGGGTATGTGCTGGAGCTAGGCAGAGGGTCCCCACAGGAATGACATAGAGCACCTCTTTGAGGTCTGCAGTACAGTTGTTTCCTGCGTAGGAAGCGTGTGGACTGTGTTGAAGGTTCTCTGTGGTGGTACGCTGCACTTCTCCGTCAGACCTTTGCATCTCCTCTCACACAACTCTGTAGCCACCTCAGGACTCGAGGTGTCTGCATCCTAATTGACACCTGCCTTCCCCTTTTACAGCCTGTGGCTTGGAGGACTCGGCGTGTCCTCACTTTCTGTGCAGGCCAGTGTTATTCTAAGAGCAGTGCCTCCCCTGGCTTTCCAGGGGTCTACTTTAGAAGATGGCGTTTGTAGACTTCACTAATAAAGTCTGCTTTTAGGATTTTCTGTGAAGTTTCTGATCATACATTTTTTTCTTTGGCTAGAAAGTTTTGGGCTTAGGATGATTTCCTTATAGGTAAGTAGTAAGCTGTGGGTTCCTGAGTGCACTAGTGTGACTTCAGGAGTGTGTGTGTCACCTACTGTAGCTCATTTTAGATGACTCCTAACTTATTTTTCAGGCTCCAGGAACACCTATTATTGCACGGCAGGTGACCCCAACTACCATAATTAAGCAGGTGTCTCAGGCCCAGACGACGGTACAGCCCACCACAACCCTTCAGCGGTCTCCTGGGGTACAGGTAAGAGGGTGCAGCTTGGTGCATCAATAGGGCTACCCACTGGCAAAGCATGCTTTTGCTTTCATGCAAAGATTGGGCGTTAGGACTTTTTATATTGCGTACCAAGTTGAATTTGAGGATGCAGGTGCACAATGAAGAAAATGATTTTTCTGTATCCGAATGCACCCTACATCCTTTTCCTTAAAGAAAAAAAATTAGCATTATCAGCATTCAAAAAGCTCGTTATAAAGTGTAATTAGGAGTGTCACCTCATTAATACTTGACTCGGCATCTTTGAGGAAGTAAAGTCTGTGGTGAGGAGAGTTTGTGTCTGTGCTGTGTGGCCCCATTCCATGCTCATGGACAGTGCTGGTGCTGTGTGTGCAGGGTGTCCTCTCACCTTTCTGGGGCATATTTGTAGGTGAGCTGGGGGGTGGGGGTGTTCTTTCCTCCCCGGGTTGCTTTCCTAGCAGGTGACCGACCATGCCAGCTTCACATGGCTTCCAGACAACACTGCCCCCCTGTGGCCCTTGCTGTGATGACAGCACAGCCCTAGAAATGATCATCTTTCTCTTCCTTCATCTTCTTTCTCTCCATCTCTCCCTTCTTCTTCTATCTCCTCCTCTTCCTTCTCGTCTTTTGAGCTAAGGTCTCAGGAGGTAACCCTGTTTGGTTTGGGACTTGCTGTGTGGACCACACTGGCACACTTGGAATGTTCTTCCTGCCTCTGCCTCCTGAGTGCTAGGAGTTGTTTGTAAAACAGTGTCCTAGGTAGTGGTAGGGGAGAGTGTCCTGCAGATACTGGTTGTACCGATACAGGTTGATGCTCCTGAGGCGCAGCTTCTAGCATATGAAGCCAAGGGGAGGAGCTTAAATTCCAGGGGCTCCTCTGTTGCATAGGGCAAAGCAGATGGTAAGAGTTAAGGAAGGGGCTGGTCAGGGAGGTCACACCTGATCAGAGAAGACATAACATGATTGGAGAGATGGACCCGGCTATGGGAGACATTCCTAGTCAGAAGACATATCTGGTCAGGGAGACAGTTGGCCTTGGAAGATGTCCTTGGCTGGGGAGGCCAACTAGATTAGGGAAACCCTCTCTTTGGGCAAAGTGCCTTAAGGGTTCCTGATGTTGAGTTTGTGAGCAGTCATACTGTATAGGGCTCTGGCTTTTCTATCAAGTGCTTGCCACACTGTGCCTAGGTGATGTGCCCACTTATGTGATTTAAACTGCTGTGTTCCTGCGTAAGCTGCACTTCCATCACAGTGGGAGTCTGAGCTGGGTGATGGGCTGCAGGGCATCCCCACACATGGGCCTTTCTATACTCTTTTCTCTTGGAGCTCAGCTCCATTTTCTTTGGTGGCTGTGGGGGGTCAGAACAGCTTGGAGAGTAGTTCTGTCGCAGGTTGTGGTAAGCCAGCAGAGACGTCGGTGTGTTTCAGGAGCTGGGGTCTAGGAGACCTGGGGTTTCCTGAGAGGAACTCCTAGTGCTGTCTGCATCTGATTAAAGTATCCGCTTTTCTGATGAGGAGGGGGCTCTAGAAGGTAGTGAAGCGCATGGTAAGCTGTGTGTCATGTTTAGTGAGAACAAATGCATTGAAGTAGGTAGATAGGGTCTCTAGTCAGGGTGAGGTCTGTATCCCTAGGTCCATAGCAGTCAGGTGGGAAATAAATCTTAAAGTGAAAGGAAGTTGGTGAGAAGGGTCCCTGTGTTCTGGCTGCCCCGGCTTGTTGAGTTAGCCTCTGGGTTTGTTCCAGCACATTATCTTCACATGATGTTTTATTGGTGGTTTCCAGTCACAAGGACAATGCATGCGTATGACATGGAGACAGTTATCACCCCTGAATCCATCTCCAGCTATAGGGTAACTTGGGGGGCAGGGAAGAGACCCAGAGGCAAGTCAGTGCTGGTGCAGCATCCTTAAAAGCACCTATGGCTGGAGTACTCCAAGGGCTTTGCTCTAAGGGAGCTGAAGACTTGCCTCATGCTGCTCCAGAGCTATCCTTAGTGGGTGGGGTGGGGGTGGGATGTCACACTGTTCTCTGCCTTCAGATGGGGGTGGGGGTGGGGGGTGGGGCAGTGTTTAAAAGCTTAGAGTGAGAAAATGTAGGCAGCTAGATTTATAAATTGGAGAGGCACTAATTTAAAAACCAGTAAATATTTCATCATGATTATTCAAGAAAAGCAGAAATCTTAGGAGTGGGGTGGGACTGAGGGCCAGTGGTTTGGAGTGTCTCAGTCATTTGAAGTCTAGGTGCCCATTTGCTTTTTCTTTCTTTCTTTCTTTTTTGTAAAGATTTATTTATTTATTATGTATACAGTAAGCCTGCAGGCCAGAAGAGGGCACTAGATCTCATTATTGATGGTTGTGAGCCAACTTGTGGTTGCTGGGAATTGAACTTAGGACCTCTGGAAGAGCAGCCACTGCTCTTAACCTCTGAGCCATCTCTCCAGCCCTCTAGGTGCCCATTTGCTTTGCAAATGCTCTTATGTTTTGCCAAGTAGCACCTTTCCACACTCGATGTGGCAGTGTTAGCAACCCAGCTCTGTACCTCAGCTTGCTGTGGCTTCTTGACAAGGCTCAAATTTGGAAAGCAGAGGACATTAGTGCAGGGAGTTGTGGGCCCTGTAGGGGGTGCTGTATGCTTGGTCACAGCTGCCTTTTAGCCAGTGCTATCAGGAGTAGCTTCTGAGATAGGAGGTCACCGGGTTATCCGATCCTCTATGCTTGTCTCTGCAACAGCTGTCAGACTGACACAGATTCTCAGTGAAATGATGGGTTCAAGTTTGTAAGGTTTTATTAGAGATGCAAATACATCTCCTGTCATTATCACTCTAGTTCTCAGTGTGGGTCTGCCATGGGTGCCCTTGGCCACCTCAGGTGGCTGCAGAAGTGTGGCCACTCGGCTATTTGGGCCCTACTTCCCCAGTTTTACTTTTCTGGCTTCTGCTGCTGTTGAGAGATGCATTTACCTTGTGTTTTGAACTCTTCTAGCCTCAGCTGGTTCTGGGTGGTTCTGCACAGACAGCCTCACTCGGAACTGCCACAGCTGTTCAGACAGGGACACCTCAACGAACAGTCCCCGGGGCCAGCACCACCTCCACAGCTGCCACGGTAAGAACTCCCTTCAGGACCCTTAGGGACAAAACCAGCCCATTGGTACTAGTGGGGAAATGGAGCTGCTGTACAAAGGGGCTTGAGAATGTCTCAGCGCCCACAAGCCAACCAGGACCACTGGCGGCATAGAGGGGACCCATGCAAGTCCCTTTATGGGGTGACCTGAGGGGCCCTGAGTATCCTGCTTGGGATCTGGAACCCTGCGGATACCTGTGGAAGCCACGCACATGTAGCTGCTGAGCACCAGTGTGTCTGTCTGCTTTCACTTTCATGCTACTGCTTTTCCTTTATGAACCTGGAGCTTTGGACAAGCCGGGCCCATACTTTGCAACTTCTTTTTTTTTGTGTGTTCTTTGACAAATACTTTTAACTATTTTCAGGAGCTGCTTGGGACTTAGTCTGTTGTGCACATTTTGGCAGCAGCCTCTGCTCCTGAAATAAGGGCTTTGTCTTGGTAGATGCATCTTCCCTAGAAGGAGGTTGCTAGGTTGAGAGATGCAGGCTCGGTGGCCTTCAGCGTGGCTGATTGCCCTTCTGAGAAACTTCTGGCTTGTGCAAGAAACATGTTTCTTGGAAGAAGTTTAAACGCTATGTTTACGTGTTTTTCAGACCTCTACACATTTCACTGCAGTGAGATGCTGTGATGAAATCTCCTATAACTTATACCTTTTTATTTTAATACAGGAAACTATGGAAAATGTGAAGAAATGTAAAAGTTTTCTATCTACATTAATAAAACTGGCTTCCTCTGGTAAACAGTCTACAGAGACAGCGGCTAATGTGAAAGAATTAGTACAAAACTTGCTGGTAAGAAGCTCAGTTGAAACTCTCTGCCTCAGAGCATGGTGTGTGACCTGCAGCCCATGCTAAGGCTGCCAAGGTGACCTGGGTGGGCAGATGAGAGCTTGTGGAAGGTCCTGGAGAACAGAGGTGTGAGCACTGTCAGGGCAGGTGGTTTGCTTGCTTGAGTGTTCTGGGGACTGGGCTGGTACCCCAACCTTCCTACTGTAATTAGATGAGTCACCTGATCTGCCAGCACTAAGAAAGAATGGCTTCCAGGACCCCCTTAGCAGCTGTTGCCTTGCTTGAGAGTCACAGAACACACACCTGATGGCCAGTGATGGCCAGTGACAGCCAGTGCTAGCCAGTGCTGCTTAAGGTGGCACCCCGCTTTCTCTTCTCTTTCCTCTTTTAAAACTGAAGGAAACAGGGAGGATCCTTAACTCCAGTTTGTGGGCAGGTGGTCTCTGGTGCACCTGCCCCAGCTACACCTCCAGCATTTGGTGCTGGTCTGTAAAAGGGGCCTGTGCTGCTGATGTGCAGGACTAGACTCTGCCACTGGCTGGTGCTCCTGTCTCCCTGTCCCATGGATATTTTATTTTAGCAACTTGCTGGAGTCAGGGTTTGAACTGGGTTCCTTGTCTTGCACTGCAGTGACCTTTGTCCCTCCTAACCTAAAGCACCTATGTCCTTGCTCTGTTTTCTTTCTTTTCAGTTTCTTTGTTTAGGGAACAGGAATCTTTGAGAGTGTTGTGCTTTCTGCTGCTGGCGTTCGCTGGTTGAGCCCTGCATTCCTAATCCTTTTCCTTTCCCAGGCGTTTGCAGGCCAGGCAGGGTGGCCCGCACTGCTCTGATGCCTGGGAGGCCCCATCCTTGTCCAGTGCTGCCTTCCCCACCTGCTGGTCCTATTTACTCCTTAACTGTGTCCAGCTGTCCACAAGGTGCTACACTTTCACCAGGGCCCTGGGGCCTCCTAGCTTATTCTTACATGACCTCTTTGTGGCCTTGGGTTTCATAGGCTGCCCCTTCTGGCCTTTGCATCAGTCAGACTGGGGCTCATCTGCCTGTAGTGGGTGCCATTCCCAGGATCAGAAATGTCGCCAGCCTTCGTATTTTATCTTGGCCACTTCTGCCCTCCTCAGAGCCTGGTGAGGGTGGCTGCTCCTCACGGCAAAGGCCAGCTGCTGATGCTCTGTGCTCCGGCGGCACTGATGGCATCCCTTCTCCCCTGCCAGCTTGGAGTCCAGCTTTGTGTTACTCACATGCCTCTGTTACACTCAGGACACAGATTGCTGCCATAACCCTGTTCTCAACAGTCTACCATTGCTCTGCCTGCTGCTGCTGCCTTCCCCAGGTTTTGTAAGCTCTGGACGGATGTTACAGTAGTCTGTGGTACCCTTCTTCATGACAGCATGGCTAGTCCTCTGTTCCACTTCAGGTGTCTAGTCCATGCAGAAAACTATTCTAGTTCTCATCCATCTTACAGGGTTTTCCAGCCTACATATCAAGTCCTCAAATGTCTAACACAACCGTGTATGCCTTGCTTGTGGACTCTAAGGTTTCACCTTTGGTACTATATAGGCCCAAGTATGGGTGCTAGTCTTTCCTGACAGGTGCCCTACTCCTTGACTGGGGTGGGCCAAAGTGTTGCCCTTGGCACTCTGTACCACAGCTTGTTTGTTTCCTAGCAAAATGCCTGGCACTGGGTAGGTGCCTGGTAGGTCCCGAGTGAAAACACATTGAGCGAGAAACCTATGGGAGGTTGGAAATGAGGACCAGTAACTGGTCATCTAGAGACCTGTTCACCAGCTGATGCTCAGAGTCCATGGGGACGCCAGACACACATACTCCTGGGGATCTGCATCTGTTACATTAAGCAGCATGTACAGGCACAGTCTGCAGTCAGAGGGGCCAGTCCAGTGTGATGCTGTGGTTGAGCGTGTGCCATGAAGTCGTGTGAAGATGTGTCACAGCAGTGCCAATGTGGTTTATTTTTCAGGATGGGAAAATTGAAGCAGAAGATTTCACTAGCAGGTTATATCGAGAACTGAACTCTTCACCTCAACCTTACCTTGTGCCTTTCCTGAAGGTAACTGACAGGTTGTGCTGCAGCAGTGTGGTCCAGTCACGTGGGGTGTCACAGCCGCCTGAGTCGGTAGGGACAGCGTGCCCGGTTTTCTGTTGAGAACAGGCTCTCTGGTAGCTGAGCCCCCAGTGGCAGCTCTGGCATACTCACACGTAGGACCAGTGCTCCCTGCGGGGAAGGGTTTGCTCAGAGAATAAGCTTGGGGACCCTGACAGTGTTGGCGCCTCTTAGAGATGCGTTTTGTTTCTGAAATGCATTTTAGCCAGTTTTTGCTAAGAAATGCATTTTGAAATGCATTTTGCTAAGTTTTTGCTAACAGTTTTTACTGTTTAGTGAGTGTGGTTGGAGTTGGGTGACGTTAGTACTTGACGCTGTAGATGCTTATGGAAGTATTAGTGTAAGACTTATGCTTGACGGTTTATGCTTCTGAACTTTTAGGACAGTAAAGCACTTGTGTCCCAGCTGTGCCTAATCCCACATGTCTGTCTGTCCCCAGAGGAGCTTACCTGCCTTGAGACAGCTGACCCCAGACTCCGCGGCCTTTATCCAGCAGAGCCAGCAGCAACAGCCACCTGCCTCGCAGGCCACCACTGCACTCACGGCTGTGGTGCTGAGCAGCTCGGTGCAGCGCACAGCTGGGAAAACAGCTGCCTCGGTGACCAGCGCCCTCCAGCCCCCGGTCATCAGCCTCACGCAGCCCACACAGGTTGGCGTTGGCAAGCAGGCACCGCCCACACCACTGGTATGAAGGCGCGAGCCTGGCATGGTGCTCTTGCCAGCCACCATGCCACTTAACTCACCAGCCTGGCTCGGAGCCTCTTTCTGGAAAGAGCAGGCAAGAAAGCTCCTGCTGGAAAGGCGTGTGGTGGTTCTCTTAAGTAATTGAAGTGTGAGCTGCAGGTTGAGGCCCACGACTTTGTATTATATTTTTCAGAGAATGAAGTGAACTTGGTGGCTTTCTTACTAGCAGACCCCTCACCTTGTTGTTGGGGTTTCCTGTAGGGAGCACATTGTGTTTAGTGAACCTCTTAGGAGGATGGTCTCTGGACTTTGAATGGTGCCTGAATGTTCAAACCATTGGGATTGGGGTAGGAGGTCTGTCAGGCTTTTGCATTTGGGATAGTGCAGTCTGGCTAATGCTCAGGGAACTGAGGGCTGTTGGCAGGTGGGTCTGGCTTTGTCTGGTTTGGATTCTTTGATGGGGCCAGGATGGCTCTTTGCTGTGATTGCATTCAGAGTGTACATCTGCCACGAACAACACAGGCTCACCACACCTAGAGAGGTGAACTTCAAAAGGGGCTGGCTGTACAGTACAGTGCTGTAGGGCATTTATTTATGAGGTCTTAGGTTTAATAATTCCCAGCTCTGGGTGGTAGTGGAAGACAGGGGGATTAGAATTGTTATAAATGAAGCTTAAAAATGAGCAAGGGATTGAGGTGGAGGCCTGCACCAGAGCTGTTTCTGCAGCAAAACATGGCGCGCACACCACGGGATGAGCAGCTCAGGCTGGACTTTCCACTGAGAAACCACTAAATGCAAACACACGCAAAGTCACCTTCTTCAGTGGGCTCTGAGACCCTCCGGCCTCAGGCCCGGGTTTACACAAAGCTGACCTATCTGCCTCAGCTACACGCACAGGCACAAGTAGAGTTTGGGGTGGAGGTGGGGTCAAGGCCTGTGACCTGTGGTACCCACTGAAAGCACACCCCCCCCACCCCCACTTTTTTTTATAAGCAGAGTTGGGGTTTAAATCCTAGAAGGACTTCAGAATCCTGTGCAGACACTATGCTACTGTGTTACGCCACCAGCCACACAAAAAGTCTCCTTTACAGAAACTAGAATTCTTACTAGAAAACTCTTAGCCCAGGAATTTATGGACAGGCCATCAGGGCTTCCTGTAGGCCAGACCAGAGCACAACCAGTGCCCTGTGGGCTCTTGAGCCTGTTGCAAGCCTAGGGCAATAGGCCAGGCAGCAGGGCTGAGCAGGCTCTGAAGTATGGGGGCTTGGCCCAAGGGTGATTTGTCTAAGCATGGTTCAGGGAGTGATGGAAGGGACAGTCTGTGTTGGACAGAGAACCAAGTTTAGGGCAGAACTTAGAGATCCACCTTCAGTCCAATAGATAAATCACCTGATCCTATAGAAAATTTAAATTGGAAATAAATCATTTGAGTGTGACCACAGTGTTAAACTCTGCTGGCAGGTTGTGAGAGGCCCATGCTCCTTGTGGGGTCTGAGCTCAGCAATTTTGCTTGGCTGAAGCCCCCCAGAATGTGCCTGGGATCCAGTACAGGTCCTAAGTGTCACATGCTCCGTGTACTTGCTCTGCTGTGCTGTGGCCTGGTGTGGTACCATTGTGTCTTTGTCTCAGTCTTATGAGGGCTGTGTGTAGGGCTCGTTGAGCCAGGCTTTTAGATCTGGGATGAGGTGAATATCTGACTTTCCTAGAGCTTCTGGCAGGGCAAGGTTGGGGTAGGGCTGATGAAGCAAGTAGCTGGCTTCATGGATCAGTGTGGTGGCCCCTAGGGGGTGTGTGTGTGTGCGTGTGTGCGTGCATGTGTGTGTGTGTGTGTGTGTGTGTGTGTGTGTGCGTGTGCGTGTGCGTGTGTGTGCGTGTATGTGCTCATGCACTATGCTGGCTGTGCCCCAGGTGATCCAGCAGCCCCCGAAGCCTGGAGCCTTGATCCGGCCCCCGCAGGTGACCTTGACGCAGACACCCATGGTCGCATTGCGGCAGCCTCACAACCGGATCATGCTCACCACACCACAGCAGATCCAACTGAACCAGCTGCAGCCAGGTGAGGCCCCGGCTGCTGCCACCCAGGGCTGGCTAGTCCTAGAAATGGCCACTTGTGGGATAATACTTGATTTCATTTAATCATTGTGATAAAATTCATGTAACAGACAACTCACTATTTAAATCATTTTACTCACACCACTCAGCAACTTCATTTATGAGGTCATGCAACCATTGCCCTTGTCAACGTGGTTTTTAAATTACCTGAATTGTATACAATTGCCACTGTTAGTACTGTTAGATCACGGACCTTCTAGCTGCCTTTCTCCCTTTCCTAGCAGTCAGGCCATGCCTCCTGCAGCTGTCATACCCTCTCACACCTTGTGCTAGTGGTCTGCATGCTCTCACTACCCACTCTTGTCTTCCCTCCCTCCCTCTCTGACCCTCACCCTCTCTTTTCCAGAGTTGACAGGAAGTATGCTGTGTAGTAGTAGACTTGCAGTGCCTCCGTCTGAAGCTGCAGGACCCTAGTATCTCCTCAAGGCACATAGGCTAGTCTAGGTTGTGTGGTATAAACGTTCCCACACTCTAAAAACCTATAAAAACCCCAGCAACCCACTTTGTTCTTGGGGTTTGAAGGGAAGCTCTTCTTCCAGGCCCCATTTTGCTGCTTGTGGTGTATTGCTCTGTCTTTTCTAAGGCCTGGCCACGGCCCCCATCCCAGTAAAGTTGATTCTGAAGTGTAATTCTGTATCAGTTCCTTTCCACCGAACTTAGGCCTTTAGATTATAACAGTATTCCCTCCCTGTTGTTCCCAAGGCAGCCTCACTGTGTTGCCCTGGCCCTAAACTCCTGGGCTCCAGTAATTCTCCTTTTTCAGTCTCTTAGCTGAAACTATAGGTACTTAACCATGTATCTGCTTATTATGAGTCTGTTTGTCAGAAATCATTCCTGTACCTAAGAGTTGGAAGGAGACTAGTGGTGATGCTATACGTCTTTAGTCTCAGCACTCAGGAGGCAGAGACAGACAGATTTCTGAGTTGGAGACCAGCTTGGTCTACAGAGTGAGTTCCAGGACAGCCAGGGCTACACAGAGAAACCCTATTTCCACCCCTCCCCAAAAAAGAGTTTGAGGAAATACAGGAGAGTAGATGCTTGAAATATGCAACTAAACCTTTTCTTTTAAACTTAGGGTTTAAATGTTATTTACATTTTAAACCTTTGTCTTTAACCTTGTTGTCAATTATATCCTTTGAGAATTTCACAGGTGCATGCTTCTCTGGAGTTAATGCTGTTGAGGAAAGGAGCTGTAGATAGGGCATAGGGGTGGATGGTCTATAGTGATTGGTGTTTTGGATATACTTACTTTCCCCTCATGCTTAAGCATATGTTCTTCCTTATCTTTCTAATTTGAGGTTTCACACATGTATGCAGCAAGTTTTGATAGAATCAACCTTTTTGCTCCCCCAGCTCCTCCCAGACCCGCCCCCCAATCTTCCTCCCAACTTTTATGTACATTTTTTTTTAACCTCTGAGTCCTATTGGTGCTGTGCATGGATATAGGACTACCCATTAGGACATGGGCGATCTACCCAGGGCCTCATCCTTGGAGAAACCTGAGCCCTCCTCCCCAATCACCATCAAGTCCCCGTAGTTCCTCAGCTAGGAGCCCCTCCCAGTCCATGTTAGAATTAAAATAAAAAAAAGCTTTATTATTATTGTTTCGTGTGTATGGTTGTTTTGCCTTCATGTATGTTTGTGTACCATGTGCATGCCTAGTGTCCTTAAAGGCCAGAAGAAGGTGTTGGGTCCCCTGGAACTGGTGTCAGCCATTGAGTGGGTGCTAGGAATCGAACCTGGGTCCTCTGTAAGAGGAAGTGCTCTTAACCACTGAGCCATCTCTCCCTCCTTCCATGCTGGAATTTTAATGGGCTTGATCTTAGCAGGTGTTGTATATGCAGCCACAGCTGCTCTGAGTTTATATGTGCAAGGGTCTTGTCATGTCTAGAAAACACTTTCCAGTAATCTTCCACAATCTCTCACTCTTGCAATCTTCCCACCCCCCTCCTTCTGGGATGATCCCCGAACCTTGAGGGGAGAGGATAGATGCTACAGTCTCTTATTCTCTGCACTTTGAACAGTTGTGTCTTAAACTTTTTTTTAGATTTATTTATTTATTATGTATACAGTGCAGAAGAGGGCACCAGACCTCATTATAGGTGGTTGTGAGCCACCATGTGGTTGCTGGGAATTGAACTCAGGACCTCTGGAAGAGCAGTTAATGCTCTTAACTGCTAGGCCATCTCTCCAGCCCTGACTTAAACTTTTTTTTAAGATTTATTTTTAGAGCTTGGGTCCTCTGAAGAGCAGTAGAAGTGCGTAACCAGTGAGCAGTCCAACCCTGTGACTTAAACGTGTATAGCGTTTTCCCGCTGTTGGTTCAGGGTTTTGAGAATGTCACTGTGACAAGTAAGGAGATGAGTTTCTTATAAAGCTAGCAGAGTCAGGCCTCTGGTAACGGCCTCTGGTCTCCACTGTCTTTGGCTTTGCAGTCCCTGTGGTGAAACCCACCGTGTTACCTGGAACCAAAGCCCTTTCTACTGTGTCTGCACAAGCAGCCGCTGCACAGAAAAACAAGCTCAAGGAGCCAGGGGGAGGCTCCTTCCGGTAAGGACTGACACCCTCGTACACTTTAGGGAGAGCGCGGGAGGGGCTCTGTCTGTCCACTTCACGGTTGGGTCTTCCTGTTTCTTCTACTTGGTTCTTGCACATCACAGCAGAGGAGGCTTCGTGCCCTCTGCAGGAATGGAGATCAGGTCGACTGACTGGTACCCATGCAGTGCACCAAGGTCAATACAATTTGTAACACAGAAGCCCTCACTACCCTATCTGCTCACTTTGACTCTTGATGGATAGAGCAGCCCACATGGACATTATTATGTCCTGACATTCTTGTGTGGATGCACCAGAGGCCATAGCACAACTTTCACTGTGACTTAACAATAGGGAGTATTTGCCGGGCGGTGGTGGCGCACGCCTTTAATCCCAGCACTCGGGAGGCAGAGCCAGGCGGATCTCTGTGAGTTCGAGGCCAGCCTGGGCTACCAAGTGAGCTCCAGGAAAGGCGCAAAGCTACACAGAGAAACCCTGTCTCGAAAAACCAAAAAAAAAAAACAAAACAATAGGGAGTATTTGAATTTCAGGGAGATTCTTCATCCCCAAAGCTATCAAATGGGGCTGGATGGAGTTGGGAGCTACAGTAGCTCTGTAGGGTAAGGAGCAGCCAGACAGAGCAGGATAGGTGACTTGAGTGGATGGGGGGAGAGGTCAGGTGCATATATTAAAAAAGCCTGTACCACACACTTCTAGGTGCTGTGGCTAATAGTTGAGGAAGGGAGCTGGAGATAGGACAGCCAGAGTCAGCTAGAGTTAGCAACAGCCTTGGGTCTCAGCTGGGCTGCTGGAAGAGCCTAGGTACACTCATTCCCATCACTTACACCTTGTCTTCTAGAAGCCTTTTTCCAGTTTAAGGCCAGTGGGGCTCTTCAGAGAAGAGCAGACTGTAGAGCAGGAACAAGCGAAGACAGGGTAAGCTGTGGCTGTCTCATCATGTCAGGACAGGACTCGTCATGACTTGAGAGTTGGGTTGGGCTCCTTCCTATTGCCCAGGCTGGGATGTGACATGTGGATGGACAACATCAAGTAGGGCAGGACCACAAGCCTGAGCAGAAGTGGACTACTGGTTAACTTGTATGCAGTAGGGAGGTGGAGTGTGGTCATAGCTTCAGGATGCCTCCAGAATACCAGTCAAAGGTTCTGTTGTCATCCTGTGATTGACTTCATGACAAGGCCATGTGTCAAAGACAGGCTGAGGGGTGTTTAGTGAGGGACACTGGAGGGGCCTTGTTGCTGGATGTAGACATCCCCACTGAAGAGGATGGTCCTGGGACAGTGGTCACATGTTGACAGGTCCTTATGCTGGGCCCTCTGTGGAGGTCTTTTATCCAGAGGCTCCTCACAGGAAGCACAAGCAAACGCCTGTCTGGGATCTAGCTGCAGTGTCCCGTGCTGGCTCAGCATGAGTCTTGTTCTTTTCCACCTCCTTCGAGAGCTTGTGACTAGCAGAAGAAATTAATGCTGGCTGACTTGTTTTTCCTAAGAGGTTTTCAGGTGACACAGAGACTTCAAAGCAACAGATGGTGTTTTGGGTTTTGTTTTCTCTGGACATGGTGTAGACTGTAGGCACGCAGCTCTCTGTGGATTCAGTCTTGCCCTGACCCCACACCATCAGATGATAGGACGGTGTAAGAACTAGGAGATCCCGGTGCCTCCTGCAGTTCCCTGCCACTTGCTTGCCGCCTCTGAGTTGGAACCGCCTTAGTGAGCTGTGGTTTCCTTGTCCGACAGAAATAATCTGTTCCTCTCCTCTCCAGGGATGACGATGACATCAATGATGTTGCGTCAATGGCTGGAGTGAACCTGTCTGAAGAAAGTGCAAGAATATTGGCCACAAACTCTGAGTTGGTGGGGACACTGACTCGATCCTGTAAAGACGACACCTTCCTCCTCCCCGCACCTTTGCAGAGGAGGATACTGGAAATAGGTATGTTTGCACCTGAGGATGCCACTAGGATTCAGTGTCCACATCTGTGTCTGATGTGCTCCGTGACCTGATGAGACTCAGCACAGCCCTTCTGCGGTAGCTCCACTGGGTGTGGGGGCTGTAGGTGAGCGTGCCCTCTGCCTGGGTTTGGGCTCACCCCATGGCAGCTCCACTGGTGGTTGGCAGGTAGTGGAAGGGGGGGCAGTGACTGCTTAGGTTGCCTTGATTGTACAAAGCAGTAACTAGTGGGTGAGAAAAGCCAGTGTGGTAAGTACCATAAAGTGCTCTTTTTCTGCATGGCCTGCAGGTAAAAAGCACGGCATCACGGAACTGCATCCAGATGTAGTGAGTTACGTGTCTCATGCCACACAGCAAAGGCTGCAGAATCTTGTAGAAAAAATATCTGAAACAGCTCAGCAGAAAAACTTCTCCTATAAGGTAATGGGGCTGTTTTCCTGGGGAGAACGTCCATGTTCTCAGCTCCTGACACAGGGCTGTCTGGAGGCCTGGGAGCGCTGGCTGCTCCTGTGCTCATTCTCTCAGCCACACTCAGTCACCGCAGGGTCCTGCTTTGGAAGACGAGCCTGTCAGCTTAGAAAAGGACGGAGTCTTCCACTCTTATTCCAGCCAAAATTGCCCAGCACTTGCTGCTGGCCCTTCTTGAACCATGAGCTAAACCTGCAGGCCCTCAGCCAACTGTGGCCCTGTGTTTATGAAGTGAATTTGCGGGCAAACTATGTCTTGAGCAGCTGCACAGATGTTATCTGGAGTCACTGTTTGTGCCTTCAGGGTAGCTTATGGTGAATCGTCAGCTTTAAAAACACTTCTACAAGCTGGGTATGGTTGCGCATGCCTTTAATCCCAGTTCTCAAGAGGCAGAGGCTGGTGGATCTCTATGAGTTTGAGGCTAGCCTGGTCTACAAAGCAAGTTCCAGGACAGCCAAGGCTACACAGAGAAACCGTGTCTCGGAAAACCAAAACCAAAACAAAACAAACAAAACACCAAAACACAAACAACAAAAATAACACTTCTACATAGAAGGATTTAATGTCTCTTAAAAATTATCAAAGTGTATAAACTGGAAACCTGTGGGACTCCTGGTAACTCAATGAGACCTCCCCCTCCTTGTGAGAGTATGACCTGAAGCAGTGAGATGTGAGCAGCCACCACCACCCATGGGAGCTGTGTGCAGACTGTCCAGCTGTGGAAGGCATGCTCATGCTTATTGAGGTTCCAAATTCATGGTGGACAGTGTTTTTGCTAATTTTTTGTAGGATGACGACAGATACGAGCAAGCGAGTGATGTCCGGGCTCAGCTCAAATTCTTTGAACAGCTTGATCAGATTGAAAAGCAGAGGAAAGATGAGCAGGAGAGGGAGATCTTGATGCGGGCAGCAAAGGCAAGTTAAACATTCCTCCCAGGCTTAGGGCTCAGGCTTACAGCCCTCCTCTCCTGAGACTCTCACCAGGCACATTGGGTTCCTGGAGCTCAAACCATGTTTCTGGCTGGTGTGGAAGAACGGGTATTGTGACTGAACATGTTGGGGAAGCCTGGCTCCCTTGGTGTACGTCAGCTGCTGGAGACTGCACTAAGGTTGGGGATTTGATAAGACAGATGTGGACTGACTGACTGACTTCCTTCGTTCCTTCTTTTTTCTCACCATGTAGCCCTGGCTGACCTGGAACTCACTGTGTAGACCAGGCTGGCCTCAAACTCAGAAATCCTCCTGCCTCTGCCTCCTGAGTGCTGGCATTAAAAGTGCGCACCACCATGCCTGATGGTGTAGGCTTTCTTAAGATGTCTCTGAGACTTTATCTTCTCAACATTGCAGACTGTGGCTGTGGGATCACATTGCCCTTCAGTCTGGAGCATTCATAGCTAAGTGTAGGAACCTCGTTTATTCATTATTAGACTCATCTAGAGATGATTCATCAAGCTTTTTGTGCAGTGAGAGGGATGGCAGCTGAATGCCAGCCTTTGCTAGCAGCCCCTGAGCCCATGGTCTCAGGAAGCCCTGAGTTGGCTCTCTTTTCTCCAGCTATACTGAGTCAGAGGCATATGACAAACTGGTAGCTATATGCCCAAGATTCTGTATTATCACATCTGGATGGTAGTGGTGACATTTTTCGTGGTGTGTAAGCTAAATTTTCATCTTTTGGATATAAACATTTATAAAACTAGCAGGAATTCTTTATCTGGCTAGATGCTGTTGTAGGGTGAATACGGTAGCAGTGATGCTCTCGCAAGGCATGACTCTTCCTTTTCTCCTTCTTTCTAAAATAGTCTCGGTCCAGACAAGAAGACCCAGAGCAATTAAGGTTGAAGCAGAAAGCAAAAGAGGTGAGCTTCCCAGTCTTGGATTGTCAGTGCACTTGCACCTCATGTTCATGCTCGACACCCAGCAGAAAAGAGAAAGTTAAGAAAACCTGGGGTTCCTGCTGTGGGCGTTTGTTGCTCCTTAGAGCTCTCAGGTGATTGTGCCACCACAGGCTTTTCTGTGCAGTTGGCATTGCCTGGAAAGTTCATGGTAACTTTTGTGAGGGTTAGGCCCCTTAAACGTGCTCTTCTCATTCTCTGAGCATGTTAAGGTAAGCTTCTGTTTTTAAGAAAGTCTTAATAATCTTGGTTACAGACTGTTCTTAGTTTTAAAAACCTCAACTTTAGAGAAGCTGTGACTTAGGAAACTTCGGGAAGCTCTTGATAGCTGTTGCTGCACTTGCAGTAAGAGCTCTCAAGCAACATTAGCTCTGTTTCCTTCCCAATGTGAAGATGCAGCAGCAGGAGCTGGCACAGATGCGACAGCGAGATGCCAACCTCACAGCATTGGCGGCGATCGGGCCCAGGAAAAAGAGGAAAGTGGACTGTGCCGGGCCGGGATCGGGAGCAGAGGTACAGCAGCACATGGGGCTGAGGTCTGGAAGGCATGGGAGAGTGCTTTAGAGTCCCTTCCTCAGTAGCCAGCAGAAGCTCCTGGTGTGTGTTTTGCATTTGAAACTTGATGTTCAAGTCACTTTATTGATGCATATCTCATGAGCTTAAAACACATGCCCACATGGTTGGCTCTGATGAGGTTCAGACCAACTTTTGAAAAGCATGGGGCAGAACTCAGAACAGTGTGAGGCGACCTGCAGGACATGTGACTTAGAGAAGTTGCCACCTGTTTCCCGGACCCCAAAGTGTGAGTGTCTTATCTTTTACCCTAGTGGTTACTTTTCCTTTAAACTATTAATTGTCCCTTGAATTTTAGGAAGAGTAGTAGCAGCCCTCTGTATCTATACTCTGTTGTCATCACTGCTGCCCTTTCTTCTACAGAGGATCCAGGGTCTGTGCATCACTGGTCCCAGTGGCTTGGAGGCTGCTGGGCTGGTGTGTGTTTCTGGTCCGTCTCTCTGCTGGTGTTTGCTTTATGCTCCTCTGTGAGCTTTGTTCACTGCTTATAAAGCCTAGGGTGTTAGTGGGTATTTTGTCACTTTTATCTGAAGACCTATTGTAATCCCTTCCCTTGCCTCTGTATGTAATCTGTCTTGTGTGAAGCTAGAGTTTTCCTGCCTTGCCTACAGTCAGGACAAATCTCTCTTACCCGCCAGTCCCACAGCCACTCAGACCCAACCAAGGAAACACAGAGACTTATATTGCTTACAAACTGTATGACCGTGGCAGGCTTCTTGCTAACTGTTCTTATAGCTTAAATTAGTCCATTTCCATAAATCTATACCTTGCCACGTGGCTCATGGCTTACCGACATCTTCACATACTGCTTGTCCTGGCGGTGGCTGGCAGTGACTCCTTCTGCCTTCCTGTTCTTTCTTTTCTCCTTTCTGTTAGTCCCGCCTATACTTCCTGCCTAGCCACTGGCCAATCAGTGTTTTATTTATTGACCAATCAGAGCAATTTGACATACAGACCATCCCACAGCACTTGTGTGACTGCTGTGACGCTTTGGGCCTTTCTCTATGAAGTTTTCTTTGTGTTAGGTTAAGTCTCTGGATGTTCAGGCTGCTTCCATTTGCTGAGCTGCTTATATCCACATGTGGGTCTGTCCTTTAAGAGTACATTTGGAACACCTTGGCTGTTGTTTCTTTAGGTGTGTTTCTGTTCCCGTCTGTCTTCTTGGTCTCCAGTTACACATGCACAAGACTGTGGTATGGCCTGTGTTCACTGGCATCAGCAGTTTTCTGCTCCGCCCTTCAGATTGGGTCATGTTCCTTGGCCTGATGGGAATTGTGCCAGCCCCTGTTGGTTTTTAAGCTCCAATGCAGTTCACATTTACTAATGTAGATTTCAGTTTAGAGCATCTAGCAGCAGTTTTCAGCCTGTGTGTTGTGACCCCAAAAGACCATCAGAAAACACAGATACTTACAATTCATAACAGTGGGCAAAATTACAGTTTTGAAGTAGCAATAAAATAATTTTATGGATGGTAGGGGTCACCATAACATCAAGAACTGTGCTAAAGGGTTGCAGTATTAGGAAAGTTGAGAACCGTTGGTCTATAGGCTCTTTGAAAGTGTCTTCTAGTGAGTGGCAGACACGGACGTCTTTATGCTGGCAGTGTCCCTCCTAAGTCTTTGAACATTCATATCGAAGCTTGCCTCCTAGCCTCAGTTTCTCCTCACTGCTCTCTTTCAGTCATGGACCACTTTCCTGTTTCACTGCATATCTAGGGACTATCACCTGAGTGCTTGGCATCCTGGGTCAGATATGAGGAGGCTCTGGGTGGTTTTCTTTGACGAATATGGGCTGGACTCCTGTTTTAGCAGCCAGTTCAACCAGTGGCTCATTTTCTGTTTACTCTGTTAGTGAGGCTCTATGGAAAAGTGGGGCAGTTTTCAGTCTAACACAACACAACACAACGTAACAAACGCAACACAAAGCAACACCTCTGTCTGTGTGTGGCTTTTGGCTATTTTAGGATGAGTCTTAATGAACTGTGACCCTTAATTCTGGGGAGGGTCTTGTCTAACATCTCAGCTGAACCTTCGTGGTGCCACCTGACCTCTGTCTCCATTTTGCCTTTGTCCCCATAGCACCTGCTGTCTGCTGTGCTTGGACACTCCAGGTGCCCTGTTGTGGAGGTGTGCAGGTAGATTCTGGGACAGCTCACAGTAGTGATGTGAGCAGGACAGTGCTGTCCCTCTAAGGAGTATTGACCACCCGCAGCCATAATGCCAGCAGTAACTCTCTGAGCAGTGTTCTTTTGGTGTGGAGATTGTGCTTGAGCGAGGAATACCCTAGAGGTTCAGAGACACCCTTCTCTGTTGAGGGTAGGTAAGAATTCTGGGTGTGAGGTAGGAAGAAAACCTGGGCTGGGGTCTTAGGTAGCTGTTGTCTGAGCTATCTGTGTAGTTAGACTGATTCCTAAGTGAGTTAGGAAGAAGGGAACATAGTGCCTGGCCCTCGGTCAGAATACCGACGGGTCTAAAGCCTGGTTGTCTGCAGGAGCCCAGCAACTTCTCAGGAAAGCCTGAAGGAGCTGGGTCTGGTGTTCAAGTGTGCAAGCCTGCAAAGCCCACACCAGAAATGAGGCCGAAAAGCGAGTTTACTTGGTTAGCAACAGCATTCCTCTAGAAGGCTGTTAGGGAAGTTAAAAGACGCTAATGAAGTTTTTTTCTGCTGGGTGTTTTGTGGTCTGATGAATTGTCCTATGGTGTAAATCATTGTAACCCACCACCTGGTGGAGGTACTAGGACGTTGTCAATTGCTTGAGAAGTCCCTGTGTGTCTGGCCCCGCCTTCAACTTCCTAGTCCCTGACTGCTCCAGAAGTGATGAATCCTGACAATCATAACGTGAAGAAATTCAAGTCCATGATGCTCCCTCCACTGTGCAGCCAAGACCCTGTGGCCTCCCTTGCCTCTTGTGGCCTCCCATGCCTCTTTTCTTTAAGTGTTTTTAGGTCTGCAATGTCGTGGGTGTGGGTCTGTGTGTGTGTGTGTGTGTGTGTGTGTGTGTGTGTGTGTGTACAGTCTTCTCACTGTCCAAAGTTACCAGAGAATTGAGTGATGCTGCCCCAGCAGTTGCTGTGGCTGTGGATGGCAGGAGGTGTTTCTGTGGATGTCCCTGTCTTCGCCTGTTTTCAATGTGCTATCCTCACCTTGTCAACACATGGTGCTGTACCATGACCCTCCTCACCGTCCTCCTGCCTCACCTGTCTGAGTGAGGCTTTGTGGTAGTTCCCAGAGCAGTGCTCTCCAGCCTTACCAGGAGCAGCAGCCTTCGGTGCCCTGCTGCTGGTTTTCCCTGGTACAGAGTTCTCTCAGGATGGTAATCTCCCTTCGTGTCCTTTGCATGTTCCTCCACAGAAACTCTCATCTTAGATGGTTTTCCTGGGTGGGTGTTCTTTCCGTGGGCAGCCTCAGGTCTGTCTTTTTAACAATGTCTTTGTCAGAGAGACCTTGTCTCAAATAAGGTTGCCATCAACTTCTGGCCTTGCATGCACATACATACATACATACATACATACATACATACATACATACATAAGGTTGCCATCAACTTCTGACCTTGCATGCACATACATACATACGTACGTACGTACGTACATATGTACACACACATACACATGGGTACATACATACATATGTACATACATATGTACATACATACATACGTACATACATACACACATGCGTACATACACACTTACGTACATACATATGTACGTATGTGTCTCCTTGGCATCTTCTGCTTTATCTGTGCTTGTGCATTTGTTGTTTGCTTTGTCTGTTTGAGACAGTGGCTCTTACAGCCTAGACTGGACTTGAACTTGCTTTGTGACCCTAAACTCATATGTCCTCCCAACCCCATCAGGTTTGGGGATTACAGGCATATGCCACCACAACCCACCTTGGGTTTTTTTTTAGTCTTCATTTTTTATTTTTGTTTTTGTTTTCAAGACAGGGTTTCTCTGTGTAGCCCTGGCCATTCTGGAACTCGCTCTGTAGACCAGGCTGGCCTCTAACTCACAGTGATCTGTTCGCTTCTGCCTCCCTGAGTGCTGGGATCAAAGGGGTGCACCACCATGCCTGGCTAGTCTTTGATTTTCAAATGAAACTTTTTTTATTTCTAATTTTGTTTCTGTATTTTGCTCATTCTAACTCCTTTTGTTCATTTGTGCTTGTTTTCCTTAGTATCTTAACTTGTTTTAACTGTTACCATGCTGATGTTTGTAGTATGAAGGCTCATTTAACTAAGGGCCTTGCACAGAGCTTGTCAGTTGTTGTTACAATGTTCTGATTTGGGTTCATATACATTCTTTCACAACCAGATGCTGGGTTCTGTCGCTCAGGCTCAAGTGTCGCAGAGTCCTGTGTCCCTGTGTCGGTCCCTGCCCCATTACTGCTGATGTTCTGAACCTTCATTGAAGGGTCTGCAAGGCTTGACACTGTGACATCACCATTGGTATCTGCTGAAACTTCTGTTCTCACCATGTTTTCGCATTGTTCTCGCCTGCATCTGTTGCGGTGTGCTGCTGGCCTGAGTGTGGTCCCACGTCTGTCTGTCTGACTTTTTTATCAAGCACATCTGATGAGAGCTTGGCCTTCCTTCTCATGCCTCGTTGCTGCGTGGCTTGGTCGCTGTGTCTGTGGGTCTCGTTTTGCTCTGCATGTTGTGCTTTCTCACTGTCACTTGTTTCTTATTTATCCAGCTTTGATGATTTGGAGCTCCTTGGGCTGGTTCTGGATCATTTTGTGTGGCCTGTCATTTCCCAAGACTCTGCCTTCAAACACCATGGCCAGGCCCTTTTCAGGGACCACAGCTCTTTTGCTGGAGATAGTGTTTAGAATGAGCTTGGCATTCTAGGATAGGTGCTGCCAGCCCTTCTCACCTCACACCCTCACTAGAACATTCTGTATTCTGCTGAGGACATGGACCTGTCTCCAGGCCACAG